TTATAAGGCATTTCCATGATTGCAGAAAGTTCTGCTGGACAGCACTATGTCTTGACCGTGACAGTGAAAAAGTGCCATACTGGTGATGTTTTGACTACGTACTTAAAGAGGAAGAAATTTATTTTTGCATTGTTTATATTTTTGTAAAGCCTTGAAATGACAGGCTCATCCCCCAGAGATATTAGTAAATACGGAACACAGGTGTTTATAATGGCATCTGAAACCCAGGTTCTGCCATTCTGCATGATTTTCACATGTATCTGAAGAGCAGCATTTTCTTAGATTAATATTTTTAGAACTGTGGTTATATTTTCAGCATTTTTGCATCCTTTTAATTCAAAGTTAAATATGTATATTGTTATGTTTATTAAATTCAAATAAAGAAGTTTTCTAATTACCAAGACTTCAGAACTTGTATACTATTTCAGTTTTAATATCTACAAATGAAATAATAAATTTCATAAGGCTCTAATAAACCAAGACTTCAGAACTTGTATTATTTCAGTTTTAGTATCTGCAAATGGAATAATAAATTTTATAAGGCTCGGTTTTCCATATACCTTGTGAATGTATACCTTTATTGGCCCTTTATACCACTCCCCCCTTCTCATTGTAAGATATTTAGACTTGCTGTGCCTCTCTGTGAACAGAAGAATTGGGCTTCCAGTGTGTCACTGTTCATTTCCTGGGAGGGAGAAGGTGAAAACTAAGGCTTTGCTCACAGGACTAGATGAAGGTGTAGGGAGGAGATGGAGTTGGGATCCCCTCAGGTCCCAAATCTGGCCATCTCCGTCCCTACTGGATCATTTGTAGGCACAATGAGAACACTGAATTGTCCAACACAATCTTTTATACAGTGATACCTAAAAGCTAAATTCTATGCTTGTACATACCTAGAAGTATGACAAAACCCCATGCCACCTCAGGAGGGCAAACTGACAACTGAATGGAGAACAAAGAATGTTTTCGTTTTGGTTTTTGCCTCCTTTGGAAGAAGGAATAAAGTGTCGTCATATACGTACTTCTCCAGAATTGAAGTAGATCCCTAATGCTCCAGAAATATTTACAGACTTGATGAGTTTTGTGTATCCCATTTGCTATACTGATGCAAACTTGGAATTCTGGGTTTTTGAAGGTAGTCCAAGAGACTTAGATGTTTTCACCAGCCACACAAATATTTGCAGACTGTAACTTCCTCATGAACCACTGAACTACTTCTGTGTACAAGGGAAGTTGCCAGTAAGTACTTGATTTTGAACCAGAAGGACCCATGACATTAAAGGAAACACAATTGAAACTTTCTACAGAGAAAAAGCAAAATTCTTTAAAAAAACATGGAAATAAACCTGGGATTGATTTAACCTCTCAGAAAGCTATTTTTATTACTTCTATAATTTTTTTTAATAATTTTTTTAAAAATTTCAGATTCAACCATATGAAAAAATAAAGGCCAGGGGCTTACCTGATAATGTATCTTCTGTGCTGAACAAGCTGGTGGTAGTGAAACTCAATGGCGGTCTGGGTACCAGCATGGGCTGCAAAGGCCCCAAAAGTCTGATCGGTGTGAGGAATGAGAATACCTTTTTGGATCTGACGGTTCAGCAAATTGAAGTGAGTAACATTTAGCCTTTCTCACGAGCTACTAAAATTGTTTTTAGGTTATTATAAATGTTACCTTATAAAATAACAGATGTGGATTGAGACAGTCAAGGAGCTTGCTATCTTTAGTCTCTATTAATATATAAATGGTTGGGTGTTCCTAAGGGGCATATCCTTACAGTGTTGTAAAAGCTTTAGATCTTTAAGTAGCATTTGTGGTGGTTGAAATCTCTGGATCTACTTGGATTCTCCTTTGATCTTCTCTTCCCCATCCTCTCCCCCACTGTCATTTTTTCTAGTGACATTCATCACAGCTGGGATGATCTGGCTTTATTAACTAACCCCTTTTGGGAGGTTGGGGTGAATTTCACATATCTGGGTGGATACTATGGATGCTACAAGCTCTTCTTGGCTTCTCTCTATGATAAAGTCATTAATCACGGGCCGTAAGCTCTCCCGGTGCAGTGGCCCTAACCTTGTCTCTTTATCCCTACTGTCTAATACATGCTGGCAGCCCCAGTACCATTGGCCAACATGTATTGGGTACTCACTGTACACCAAGTATTAGTCTGAGCTCTTTACATAAATTGACTCATTAGTTCCTCTCAACAACTCTAAGTACTGTTATCGTCCCCATTTTACAGATGAGGAAGCCAAGGCACAGACAGGTTGCTTTACCTGACCAAGGCTCCCTGCTAGTTAAGTGCAGAATCAAACTTTGAACACAGGACAGCCATAAGGCTACCGGGTACTGCC